TAAGCTTCTAAATATTTCGAAAATTCCACTCTTACCCCTCCCTTCTCCCCCCTCCATTAATATGCATCATTAAAATCGGTAAAAATTCGCACTTTTTTAGCACAACTGAGCCTATTCTTTACTTCTTCCTTAAATATACAATAAAATAAATTAAAACAAACGTATTAAAATAATAGGGAATGAAAATTTAAGTGGCGTAAAATAAAACAAACAAAAAAATATTTATTTAAGAAAGTAAAATAAGAATAAAAAAATAAATAAAATATATCTAAATAACTGAATAAAAACGAATAGAACTAAACTACTTGCTTTTATTCAAATTATTTCAATTACAATCAAATAATTTAAAGTAAATTGGCCTACATTAAATTAAATTTAAATCATAATTGATGGACATAAATTAAAAAAAGTTAAGTTTTAAAACAAAACTTGTATCTGGGCTACACATTCTCGTTAAAAACTCACATTTGCATTTTGATGGGAAAAGCTTTTGCTTGCAGTTATCACGTTCGCTGAGGTGAGGCAATAGTGTCATCACATACATAAATATGTACTTAAACAAAAGGCATGGGTGTCTATTCAATGTGCACATCTTTAAATTTTGTGTTTCAGTCACAACGAAGATGTTTGAGATCATTTAAATTCAAAAACCGCGTGCCTAGCATTGCGATTAGTTTGCTTATGTGTCCTAAGTATGTATGTACATATGTATGTATGTGCATTAGATACGTGACTTTTTCTCACAAAACTACTACTAATGGGGCTATGCGAATAAATATTGATATGTATGTATATACAAACATACATATGTATTTATGTACAAAAAATCATTATCGAAATTTCCAAGCTGTTCATATTTTTTTTATAATCTATTGCAAAAAGTACTTTTTGGTTTTAGTATGCAATGAACATTCAAGTGGAGGATTCTCAAAAAAAATCGGTATGTACATTTATCTAGGGCTCTTAGCCACCTCAAATATCTTATCACACCGGTAATGTGATAAGAACTTATCAACTGTCAGATCTAATGAAAAATATGTATGTACATACTTAGCCATTGCGACACATATATACATATATACATTCGTACAATCAGGTGTATGAGCTATTTTTAGCTGCTAACAAAATGTACTACATGTTTTGTTTTTTTTTTTTTTGTGTTTGAGTTAACGGTAAATAGTAGTCATTTTGCTGGCCCATATCTTAGAACTAAGTTGGCCCGCTTACCAAGCACCACGGCGTTTTTGTATATTAGAAAATGCTTGTATGGTATTCGAGTCACCTTAAGTTCAACGCCTGATGTCGTCTTTATCTAAACGAGTTTCAAGGATACGCTTTTGATTGGTATAACAATTTTTTTTGTTTAAAAAAAAAAAATTCGAAATTTCTGATACCCTTGGCTGCTTTTTATTTCTGCAAGTGGCTTACCAGTCGTTAAAAACTGTTTTCCTCATTTAACAATTCAGATATAATTTTAGTAAAAATAAAATAAATATAAATGGAATATTGATCAGTTAAAAAATTACTTAAGTCATTAATGAAGCTCGTAAATAAACATGTTTTTCTTAAAATTTGCAGCTTAATGTGAATTTAACGATGACATGACATTTTTTCAATTACTTATGTTTGTATGATTTTTTCCCGCCAACAAAAACTCGTTGCTTAAAATAGCACAATGCTATGTACTTATTGTGTCCGAACAGGAACTTAACTATGGGAATATCATGAGCATGTTGACATTGGACTTGGCATGAAATAGAAATAAAATACAATACCAAGTTAGGACATTAGAAAAATATGTATTTAAAAAAAGATATATTTAAAAAAATTAAATTGGAAATTATTTAATGTTGGTTTTTATTTATTACTAACTAGAATTTAATTGCATGTTTTAAATGTAATAAATTTATACAATATTTTTTAAACTGGAGATAAGTATTTGATAAATAAATTTTTTTTAATAGTTGGCAACCTTGTTCCAAAAATTCTCCATCTGCTTGCTAATTACAACACATTTAACTCATTCAAATATTAATAAAAAAAATGCAGGTTGCTACTTCGTTCTAAATACTTTTAGATTGTGAGTTCTTAAATAGCTTTTGTTTGATACCCGTATTGTGATAGGTTTACCTACTTATAGTAATGCTTAATTGATTATGAATTGCTTTATACATGGCAACTTTGCGCAAAAATGCAGTTTTTATAAATATTAAAATTTTTTAAGAAAATGGTCAAACTCTTTGCAACCTATTTACATATAACAAGCTCAACCCAAAAATTACATTTTCAATAGCTGGCAACTCTATTCAAAAATTCTTCTTCTCTTTATTTATTTAAAAGTTTTAATTAAATTTTTTAATTAAATTTTTTTAGGCAGCTGGCAACTCCATTTTCAATACTTCCAGGCAATGAATTCGTAAATAGCTTTTTTCATGCCCTTATTGTGATAAGTCATACAAAATGTTGAAAGCATTATCATTTTTTATTGGGTGGCAACCTTGCTCAAAAATACTATTTTTATAGGTTTTTAACTTTTATAGGGCAAGCGGCAAACTTGTGTTATTCGAAAGTTAAAATTTGTTTTAATTTTTTTTTGCAACTCTTAATAGATAGTTTTTATTTATGACCAGGGAACGGATTTTATGGAAATTGCCTTTTTTTCTGCTAAAGAGATAGAGTATATTCGATTAAGAATGTCCACGATTTAGCTTTCTCTGATTCCATATATACACATTTGATGTTGCCTTTTTTTGCCTTTTTTAAGATATTTGCCTTTTTTTTGCCTTTTTTAAGATATTTGCTTTGTTTGCCTTTTCTATCTTTAAAAAGTGATTATAGCATTTACATTTTTTTTTTTTTTTATTAAAAATATACACATGCGGCTTATAGAAGCGCAGGGACCTATTGCCAAACTGGTGTTGGAAAAATTCAAAGCCGTTTTCTCAGCTAACGTAGGCTTAGAGACAATAAGGGGTGTGGATAAAATTGTAAAGGGCGAGGAAAACGCGCTTATTCCTGATAATATGAACGTTTCAAACGTTCCATATTTAAATTGGGCTCCACTTGTATCACCTTACGTCGAGCGCATATTTAGTACATTCAAGGCTTTTCTTCGCGAAAATCGAATGAAAATGCTGCCAGAAAACTTCAAAATACATCTTGTGGTTCAATGTTACTACAACTATACAGATTAAAGTTTTATGAGTTAGAAACTCGAAAGGATAAAATAGTCAAAGATTCAAAGTACAAATTTTTCATATAATGAAACTAGTTCATAGTTTTTCTCTTTTTATATGTAAAATAAACATTGCTAAAAAAATATATTTTTTGATTGTTCTTCGTATTTTCTGTCTTTTTTTAGTGCCTTATTTTGCTTTTTTTGCAATACCTTTTTTTTTGCCTTTTCCTGCCTTTTTCGCTATTTTATTTTGCCTTTTCCAGCCTATTTCGTTACTTTATTTTGCCTTTTTTATAGGTTTTTGGTCCTAAAAATCCGTTCCCTGTTTATGACTATATTTTATCATATTATAAAACGTTATTTACATAGGTATTTGTCGTGCATTTCTACATCCTAAGTAGCTGGCAACCCTATTCAAAAATGTGTCTATCTTATATATGTATATGTCTGTAAAAAAATTAAAATTTTATTTTTTAGACTTCGGCAACTCTGATAAAAGTTTTTCTACACAAATGAGCTTAAGTCGCCTTTGATTGATACCAAAGCTGTTGTATTTAACTAATCTTATAGTATATGTATGTGTGATTAAATTAAAAGTTTTCAATTAGCTGGCAACCTTTCATTAAAAAAAATATAGAATTAAAGTTCCTTCAAAACCCCTTTCCTTTTATGCCAATATTGTAATGCTTATTTGAATTTACATATTAACTTAAATTATTTCAAATTTGCATTCAGCTGGCAACCCTGCAGCGCAAAAAAAATTTAATTTTTCATAAATAGCTCTCCGATATTTTAATATTTCATGTAGATTTTTAATAAACTTGAATTTTTTTAGACAGGTGGCAGCACCATCAAAAAAAATACCAGACTCAATGTTACAAATATCAAACAACTTTGAGTCGCCAACAACACTCGAATGTTGTTTTAAACTCAAATATCGAAATAATTTTAAATTTACAGATAGGTTGCAACTCTTTTGCGGAAATTTTCTTGTACATACATATCTTTTATCTAACGTCCAAATTAAGAGGTTTTACTTGGTTTCACTCCCTATTGACTGTCTAAGGTACAAGACCTCGGTCGGGTTGTAAGCTCTTCTGGGTTAAGGTCGCTCAATAAAAAATGTTGAAGCTTTTGGTTAATTTATGATTAGGAATGTATGTGCTCTGAATATCTATCCGGAACTTTTTATCTCGACCTATTAAGTTGAAGGTGCATAGGGTACCATCTTGTTATCTGCTTTTCCTTCCGGAATGATTAAAAATAAAAAAGAAGGTAGGTTTCGAGCCACCTTGATTGCCAAGTAAAGTAGAGTTTCACACCGATGAACGCTACGCTAGTTTTTAGAGTTCGTTGAACTTTTTTAATTCCACCTCAGGAAGCAACAAACTCGATATTTGGTTACCACATGAAATCAAAGATGTTTAGTTTACGGCGGCAGTATGTACATACATAAATATCTGTGATTTGGAATGCCAACAAGATGATTCGCCTCAAACGACTTCAAAGGCAGGACTTCATCAAAGGAAGGGTATACACTCAGTGTGGTGGAATTGGAAAGGTGAAATATTTTTTGTGATCCTACCAAAGCACCAAATAACCAACACGGATGAGTGCTGTGGCAATTGGACATCTGCCATCCAGAAACATCCGAGACTTTTCAATCGTAATGGTAATGGTTGTACGGGTTAGACTAAGGCCTTTTGGCACTGCGACCAACTTGATCTATTGTGCGCCCCTTCGTACTTATGTATTTAGTATAGTAGAAAGACTTTGAAGGTCTTCATCTTCTAGTAGGTATGAACCTAAAATTTTGTGTCTCATGTGGTCTAGTGCTTCACAGTTGGTGATTAAGTGTTCCATAGACTCTTCTTCATCACAGCTAGATATTCCTGTTTTGTGTAAGTGTTTATTGCAGGCGAAGTAGTCGGTCAGTGCCCCGGAGTGTAATCTAAGACACTTTTTGTTTAAGGTGAGAGCGATGTTAGTTCTATTGGCATCAAATCTTAGGAATTTTTTGGAGTGATTGAGACCATCAATGTCATTTCCGTATTCTCTAATTTTATATTAGATCCTATTTTTCCCAAAGAAAGGGCTTGGACCAATAAATTACCCTTCAGCCCCTTTTTTGGCAAAAGGCCCGCCTTTTCGTTACGTTCGAGTACTTCATGTCCGGGCACCCAGATCAGAGAAACCTGATTGTGTTTGGCCAGTTTGTTGAATGCATTGTAACACTCCATGAGGACTTTTGATGTAGTTGTTGAGGACTGATTGGATGTCTGTGAGTATTTGGATTTTGACTGCTTTGAGTCCTCCTTTGGATACGATTTCCACCGTTTTCATTATAGCATAGAGCACTGGGTCTGTGTGATCCCTTGCCTGGGTCATATGTGTAGCATTTCCGACCCTATTTAAAATTTCTAGGTGTCCAGTAAGATTTCCCGGTTTGAATTTTTCTTTCATGTGGGTTTAGAGTGCTTGCATTGTGGCTTCCTCTTGTATTGGTAAGTATAGTGGTGGTAAATTTAACAGCGCTTTCATGCCAGCAGCTGGGCTAGTTTTCATAGCCCCTGTGATGTTTAGGTACGCCAGCTTTGCAATTTGCACAGTTTTGATATAGTTGTTGTGACCTTTTTTGTTACTGGATTGAGGTGTGCCTCCGAGGTGAGTTTTTTATCCAGGATGATTTCTAGATATTTTACCTCCTCCTTTAGGGGAACCTCAATATCGTTTATTTTTAATGTGGGAACGCCCTTTTTCTGATAAAAGGGACGATAGTGGTTTTCGTAGGGTTAATTGATAACCCTTCTTTCCTACACCACTGTATATCATCAGCATAGCCAATTGTTTTGTACCCTTTGTTGTTAAGGACGTTTATTGGTTGTTAGCTAGTACGACCATAGCAACGGTGATACATCCCTTAACCGCTGTAACCCTCAGGTTGGCTTGCCCTAATGAGGCTGTGATTATTCTTTGGTTTAGCATATTGCTTACCCATTGTACAATTGCTGGATCTGCTCCTCTTTTGGAGAGTGCCAGTTCTATTGCTCGGAATTTCCTCCTCCTCGGAAATTATCTCCTCTGTTAGGTATCAGTCCAACATATTTTCCATGGTTTTCAACATGAATGACGTTCGACTGATAGGCCTGTAGGATTTGGGAGATTCAAGGGGTTTATTTCCGCCCTTTGGTAAGAATATAACCTTAACCTCTCGCCAAATATTTGGAACATATCCCAATAATAGACTAGATTTAAAGATTTGAACCAAGATATGTATTAATCTCACAGTCCCTTTACAGAGTAGGGCTGGAAATATACCAACAGGTCCAGGTGAGTTGTAGGGTTTAAACGTGTTGATTGCCCATTCTTCCCCTTCAAAATTGACTATTCTAAAGATAGTAGAGTTTCTTGCCCTGTGGTTGACACATTCAGACCATATCTATATTTGACAATCTGACAAAAGTGAATTTCAATGACAGTTGAGAAGTGCAGATGAAAGCGTATAAAGCATTGAGACCGCTTAAACACATAGAATACTTAAAGCGTTGCATTCAGCTAAGGCGCAATATTAGTGCCTTTTATAGCTTTTCGTTAATAAAAACAGATAATGCATTATGCTCTGAACATGCTGTATAGCATGAAATATTATTAATTTAAGTAAGTCCTAAAGGGACTTGTAATTGTGATTCATATGACCAGTTGCTCTTAAGGGTCTTTCATCTAATTTTTCTGCTTTAGATAGTTAGTTGCAGGGAACTCTTATCAAATGAAACTGAGCTAAAAAATATATGACCTTGGCACAGAAATTTGTCCCAATCGAATCTTTTTAGATTTTGTTTCTACTCTTATAACTTCAATTCGTAAAAAATCTCGTCAACAAACCACTTGAGCTCCACGGCTAAGCATATTTTTCTTTCACTTTCAAGGTCGCCGGAATTCTGCTTGCCACAAATAGATACTCACGTAGCAATAACAAAACAAGCGTCACATAACTCCAGGCAAGGCAAGAGATTCACCAATAAAAACGGTCACGTGTGGGTGCGCACTTTTAACGCTTGCGACGATTACATAAAAAGTAAATTGCTTTCAAGTGATAATATTCAAATGTCGAAAGTGGTAACAATTAACAGTAAAAGTGTACAAGAAAAAACAAACAAAAAACAACAAATTTATGACAAACAAAAAAAGGAATAAGAAAGCTTAAAAATACTCGAAGTACCTCAGCTGAAACCAGCACGGCTGCAAGTAGAAAAAATTTCCATAAAATTAAAATGAAAATAATAAATAATATTAAATATTAAAAGTAAAGAGATAAATTTAAGTGGCTGTTTTGTGGAAATCAATCACAGATACCACAAGTGTAGGTAAGCATGTGCGCCTTTTCATGAATTTGAATAGTAAGCATTTCTTAACTACACTGGTTTACAGAAAATATGTTTTATGGATGCCACTATCCAATTCCTTTGTAGAATTACTCGGTGATTCCGAAAATTTAATTAATTTTTTTCTATGGATAAGTTTTCAGGATAATGTCAATTTACCGTTATTCAGCTTTAAAAAGTGATTCCGCTTAATCACGTACGTATGTATATCTCCCGAAACAATTAAAAAACGTAAATGACACGAAAATCGTTTTTAATTTTTATTTTTATTTTTTTGTCAAAGTTGGAATTTTTTTTTATTTTTTCATCAAAAACCAAAAGTCTGGAATGATTATTTAATTTCTCAGAAACTATCAGGCCTATCGATAAATGATGTATTTACGATTTATGGTGAACAAAAAAAAAAATATAAAAATTTGTGTTCCAGTGTTATCTGCGCAGGCATCACGGCGATATGTACATACATATTTATATGAGCGCAAATTTATTGGAGCATTTTCTTGTCGCCCACAAACATTTTTGAACTTGTTACGTTTTTTGGTCTACATAGATGAATATCAATTTTTATGAATATAAAAGAGTAATTACTCAAAAATATTTATAACATAAAAAATGTATGCAGATATGTACGGGTATACAAAAATGTTGCTCTTTCGGTGAATGTATAAAAACGTTTGAATTCCGCTTGGTAGACAGCATTTACAATCAGTGTTTAAGGCACAGAAGTTCGCAGGGTTCCTTTGTACTTTGGAAAGGATTAATTGAGTGTTGGAAAAATTGTTGTGATGTATTGTTCGGTGAGTGAAATTATTGAAAAGGAAAATATATAAAATAAAAAAAAGTAAAAAATAGTGAATAATGAAATTTTGATAAAAACAGTGTATTTAAAAAATTTATTAAAATATAAAGAGGTATTTAAAAATTAAAGAAATTAAATAATCTTTTGATGAAATGAAAAATATGTCTTAAATGCCAAAAAATACATATTATACATTTACAAAAAATTAAGCAGAATAAAATGAATTAAAGTAAATAAAATAAAATTAAAATTCAATTAAATAAAACTATCTAAAAGTGAGCCAAATTAAATTAAAGGAAAAATAAATCGTAATAAATAAGATTAAAAATGATATGCAATAAAATAAAAAAACGATATAAAATAAAATACCAATTAAAATAAATAAAATAAAACAAAACTTGATTATTTAAAAGTAACTAAGATCAAATTAAAGGGCAATAAATTAAATTAAATGAAAAAGAAAATAAAATAAAAAGGAACATTCAAAAAAATTAAATTAAATTAAATTAAACTATTTAAATAAATTAAAAATTCACTAAGATAAAAAAAACACAAAATAAAAAATTTATTTAAATAAACTATTAAATTTAAATTAAATTAATTTACTAAATTGAAATTACAAACATTAAGACCATCCAAAATTAATAAAGATAAAACATATTGAACACGTACCGCTAAAAAGACGTGAGCGATTTTTTTTTTTTTTTTTTCAATATTTTCCTTTTGATACAGAAATGTTCCTATCAAAAATAAAATTTTGATAAAATGTCTCTTACGTTAGGGCTCGCTATATGTACATATGTAAGGACATTTATAAAATTAAAATGTAATAAATAAATAAGTTAAATGCCTAAAAATAAATAAAATATAAAATTTTTTTAAATATACAAAAAATATTTATACCCAATTGAATTATATATTAAAGAAATAAATAAAATAGATCAATTAAAATAAATAAAATAAATAAAATACAACTATTTAAATAAATACAAGTTTGAATAACTCAAACTTAAATAAGTTCAAACGAAATAAAATTAATAAAAACAAAACATTCAATAAAATTTAATGATGAAAATACAGTGGTCGAAAAAATTATAGCCGCACCACATTTTGACAAATTTTAACTTTTTTTTTTGTTATATTATTTTGTCTCTATTTTATAAAAATATAGTTCATCCTTTAACAAAAACTATGTTAATCGAAGTAAAAATTTTTGTACGATATAAAAAAATATAAAGCTTTCGTTAAAATTTCGAGCCCTATTAGATGTCTTAGAAAAATTTTCAGTATGTAGTTTTTTAGTTCATTCAATAAAAAATTAAAATTAACTACAAAACAACAAGTCTAAATAGCAGCAGAATTGTTGCCCTTGATTACAATTGGGTTGACAGAAAAATTGGAAAAGGCAACAACAGCTTACGTGGCGAACTTAGCTCAGTGGGTAGACCACTCACTTTGTAATCCGAAGTCGCTGATTCATATCCCAGTGACCGCGATGAAGAAGTCTGATGGCTGTTATTGGTTTTCCACAATAATTTTTATTAAAGACGACCTCAAGCTCAATAAAATTGTTGAATATGATTTGTTATTAAAGAATGTACACGAAAAAAACTGGTCGCACATAACCAAGCATAGCTCGGTTAATCATAACATTAAAATAAAAATCGGTACACACTTAAAAAGCTGGAAGCATTTTCCACCTTACTGCATCATTTCTTTTTAGTAACAAAAATCAGTGTAGAAACGAGGACCAAGAAATAAATCGATCGCGAGTTAATATTGCGCAAAAAGCTGGAAAATCCCAGCATGTTCCATAACGATATCGCAAAAAAGCTAAAATTTCCAAAGTCTACCGTTACTTATGTGCTTAAAAAATACAATGAATGTTTATCTTTAAAAAGGAACCCTGGTAGGGGCAGAAAAAAAGGATTTGCTTGCGAAATTAAGGCAAAGGAAGTGTTATCTGCTTTTAAGAAAAATCCTGGACTTTCGGTAAGAGATGTCGGCAAAAAATTAAACATGTCGTCTTCGTATATACAAAAAGTATGCAAAACAGCAGGACTACGTTCTTACAAAGTGAATGCAGCACCTAATCGCAACGGTAAGCAAAATTTGTTGGCGAAACAACGTGCTCGGAAATTGTACGACAGTCTCATACAAAAAATTGGCTGTATTGTTATGGATGACGAATCGTACGTAAAAGCCGATTTTAAAAAAAATCCGGGGCCGCGAATTTCACACTGCAAATAAAAGAGGCAATGTTGCAGATAAATATAAAAACAACAAGTTTGACAAATTTCCCAAAGAGTTTCTCATTTGGCAGGCAATTTGCCAATGCGGCTTCAAAAGTGATCCTTTTGTAAGCACTGGTACAATTAACCAAGAAATTTATGTTAAGGAGTGTCTGCAAAAGCGACTTTTACCTCTTATACGGCTTCATAAAGATCCAGTGCTTTTTTGGCCTGATCTCGCGATATGTCATTACGGAAAAATGGCTTTAGGATGGTAACATAGAAACAAAGTGTATTTTTTAGCAAAAGAGGTGAATCCACCTAATTGTCCAGAGCATCGGCCGATCGAAACCTACTGGGCCGTTGTGAAATCCAAACTTCTTAAGACCCACAAAGCTGTAAAAAACGCACAACAATTCAAAAATAAATGGCAGCTGATTTCCAAGGAAATCACTGAAACTTCTGTGCAAGGGCTAATGAAGGACATAAAGTCAAAATTGCGATCGTTTGCTTATTACAAGGAGAATTAACTGTTTTTTAACGAATTTCAATAAAACTAAGTTTAGATGTAAATATATGTAAATATCGTTGAATTCCATTAATATATTTATGTTTTAGAACGTTTTAACTGTGACCAGTTTTTTTCGTGTACATTCTTTAGGCCAAAAAAAATCAAAAAAAATTTAAAATTTAAAATAAAATTTTTTTTAAAGAAATAAATAAAACATTCAATAATAATAATAAATGTAATAATAAAAATATATGAAAGAATTTAATTCTTAAAAATAAATAAAATCAAAAAGAAAGAATTAAATTACATATAAACAAATTTATTAAAATAAATAAGCAAACTTAAAAAAAAACTTTCAATTAAATCGGAAAATAAAAACATATAATAAAATGAAATTCTTAAAAAAATGAAATAAAAAATAAGTAAAACGGAAAAAAACTACTTGAAATAAATAAAAAAATTAATTGAAATAAAAATGGGATTGAAAAAGTTCAAACGAAATTAATGAAAGACAATCATTACATTTAATAACTAAAAACAAATAGAAATAAAAGGTTTCAAATGACCAAAAATTAAATAAAGCAAAAAATTTTAAACTTTACAAAATAAAATAAAAAAATATTTAAAATTAATTTTAATTAATTTTGTTTCTAAACGCAGTAGTATGCTCGGATACCAAAACAGTAATGGCGTTTTCTTTTCTACAAAAAAAAATATATATTGCCTTTTACTAGCCCAGAGGGCAACATTTTTCGGTAGAAAAGGAAACGCCATAACTTTCCTCCTAAGAAACCGTCGTGTAACCCGTCCTGTACCTCTTTCGTTCTACTTCAGGGTGGCGTGCCATATTTCTCATTAGATATGTAATTATCCATCGGCGCTTCTGCGTCTAAGTCCTGTTTTTTTTATTCTCTGTCCAGCATTTTTTCTGTCATATTTTAACGTATTTCATTGTTCTTGCCACTTGTTCTTTTTGACTTTTGTTCGTCACATCTCTTTGTTTTGCAGATATATATGTACATACACATATATGTATCGGAGACTCGACCTAAAAAGCTTTTTATAATTGTCTGCGAATACAAATTTACACGTTTTTAAGTTAACTTTCTAATTATTGGAAACAAATTTCTCCTTTGCTTTTCTTTTAATCCGCAGTACCTTTTTTGTTTGTCGCTTTGCATAGGCACAGCTTTGGCTGTGTTATATAATGGTGAAGCGCCCAAACACAATATTCAGCCTCTTAGTGGTGGGCTACAACACCAACATACTCAGCAGCTACAACAACACACTCAGCAACAGCAACACCAACAAACTCTTCCGGGTTATCACTACAGTGTCCCAACATCAACAACGCCCCAAACTGCGTCTGCTACGTCACAGCACGCTTTTGCAGGCTATCGCTATAACACGCCCGCATCACCCACCACAACAACGACGGAAAAACCTACAACTACTACTACAGTCAGACCGCCGGTGACAGCTGCAGCCACACAAGCGTCAACTGCCGGTTACTTTTACAGTCCGCCCGCTGCTGCAGGCCACTCCGACCACACCTTCTATCCGCCATACTATCAGCAAACTCATCATGCGCCCGCTTTGGCGATTAGTAGCGACACTAATGTGCAACAACAACTGCCTTTGAGCGACGCGCCCACCTACTTTGTGCCACACGATAACAGGGGTAAAGTGGAAGTACCGCAAGCGACACATCCAGCGCAGCAAGCAGAAAAGGAGCTGCACAGAACAGAGGTGGCGTCACCCGCTTATGACTACCCGCGTCCAGCGAGTGGCGCTGAATTGGCTGCAGAGCCATTGACTACTTACCAGCGCGTATTCCACGAGTTTGCCGACTATCTGATATGGCAAAGAGCGCAGGCAAAACAGCGTGAGCAGCAGCAGCAACTGTCTGGTATTGCTACACATGGAGTTCCAAAATCCCAAGCGACCACGCTTCCGCACCTAACGCAAGGCTATGTACCCAGCATTGCACCTCAATTCAACTATCCTGCTGCTCATAAGCAATTTTCGTTCACAGCGTCTAGCAGCAATGATCCGCAACAAGCTGCAGCCGCCAGTTCTCCAACTAAAACTTATCCGCAAAGTGCGGCAGTGCCGCCAAGAAACGTCTTCCCGCAATACGCCGCGAATTTCGTAGACCAAACTCAAGTGCAGGCACTCGCTCAAAGACGTCCGGCGGAAAGCAGCGCGTTGCTTGCCGGCGAGCGCTATATTCCGCCTTCGCCTAACAGTGCCGTGGAGTATTTGGAAATGCCTTCCGAGTCTTGGGAGTTGCCGTCTTATACTGGCATAGAGGCGGTGGCACCAATGGCGGCGGTATCAAACAGCGTGCTGGGTTTCGATCTGGCTGCAGCACAGCCGGACACTGGAAGAGGCGAGCAGCCGAAGTCGCAAATGTTTTACGATGCTGCGGCGCAGCAAAACGCGCAGTATCTTTACGAACGCGAAAATCGGTTTGTACAAACTACACCTGGCATAGCCAGTGGGGAAACGAAAGGCCCACAAGAAGAAAAAGTGGCGCAAGTACAACAACAGCACGCTGAGAGTGCCCAGAGGTATTTGTCGGCTTTACAACAACAAAATACCCCTACCGATATATCGCAGTCGAAATTAACTCAACCCAGCGCCGTGCAATTTGCACAAATCCCGCAATGGCCTCAAAATTTGGCATTACAGGCGCAACATCATCAACAGAGGCTGGCACAACAACAGCTGGCAACGCAACAGCAGCAAGAACAACAACGGCCACTATATAACCGCGTTGTAGCGCCTTTGATGCCCACAGCTCAGCTGCCAGTGAGTGTGAGCCAGCATCCACTGACCTTAGCTGATCAACAGCAAGAAAATCAGCCGGCAAAACAACAATTCTACTTGCAAGCGCAGCAGCAGCAAATAGAGCCGCAATCGGGGGCAGCAACGGCGCCAAGCCGCTACACTCAAAATACCCAGCTGGCAGCGCAGCCTACTCAACCATCTACAGCGGACTCGAGTTCCAACTCTGATTCTCATTCGCATTTTCATTTAGATACGAACGTATTCAGGCGACCACATAGCAGCTATGGCGTGCCGTCGGAAAATTCTAACACGGGTGGTTATAACTACCAACGGCCGGTGGGTCAGTGAGCGAAGAGCGATAAGGAGGAGCGTATGCACATTCTTGGAATTTTAAAAATTAAGCATTTTTTATGGGCATTTTTTATTTATTTTAACCAAAAAAGCCTACTGATATAAGTTTATAAGTTGTTAATTAGTGAATAAATTAATAAATATCATAATAAAATATGTAAGTAAATATCGTTTATCATACATATTATACTTAATAAGGGACCCACAATACGCACTTAACTGGGTTCGAAAGTGTTTTCTGAAGAAGTCGACAGATTCTTTTATATCTACTGCAAAGGCAAGAAGTTCATTACTCTGCAACAGTTTCTACTATCTAACCGCGCCGGTATCAGTCTAACAATGAAAGTGGGAAGTACTCCTTCTCCGCTCACGGCCTTAAAACTTTCCCTCTTTAAGCTTGCAAATCGCGTAGTTTCCTTTAAATTATTTGAGCTCTTTATATTTGCGTCAGATACGACCAAACTATATTCGCCTTTTATTCAGTAGCTCTAACCAATCGATTTAGGTTGCTTAAATGATTACATCACTCGCCCAGCGTCAATGGTTTTTTCGACTACCCGACAACCTTAATCTCTGCATTTCTCATCAGGCTTATAAATAAGTTATTTTTTAGGATGAACTTTAGAAAGCCGCTGTGGTGTAGTGGTAAGCAGTGCGCGCTTCCACTCCGCAGCACCTGGGTTCAAACCCTGGTCAAAGCAACATCGCAAAAATATTGAAAAAATGTATTGACTGTGGTCGTCCCTCGGCAGGCAATGGCAAACCTCCGAGTGTATTTCTGCCATGAAAAACAGCTTCTCATAAAAATACAATCGCCGTTCGGAGTCGGCGTAAAACTGTAGGTCCCTCTGCTTTGTGTAACAACATCAAGGCGCACGCCACAAATCGGAGGAGAAGCTCGGCCAAACACTAACATATGTGTAAGCGCCAATCTATTATTATTATTATTATTATTATTATTATTATTATTATTATTATTATTATTATTATTATTATTATTAT